AAATAATATAATTGACCATCATAATCAACAGTACTCTTTAATATAAGATATTTTAACTTTTCTGCTCTAAATTTCTAAAACAGTATAAAAATAAATGTTTCATCAATAATCAAATATTTTTATTTTTATTTTCTGATAAAAAAAATAAAATATATTGATTAAATATACGTATTATTTACTATTTCTCTTTAATATTTTATAACCTACAAGAACGTATTAATTGTTTTTGACACAGGAGAGGCGCGAAGAGCTCACAGTAGTGGACAAGTATTTTCACAAATTGAAGAAAATGTGAAAAATGCATCGGAAAATTTTGGAGGAGGGTATCGGTATCTAACAATAAAACATATGGGTTGATGAACTTTTAGGAAACTTTTAAAATTCGTGAAAAATTGTTAAGTTATCGATCAAAAATCAAAAAATTTACTAAGATTAGACAGGTAATCTCCCTCAACCTCCCTACTTGGGACCAGTGGCCGAGCAAGTAGTCTGGAATTATCAGGGGTGTGTAAGCTTCCGAAGCAGTTCCAAAAGGTCCCAGCACAACGAAAAATTGCCGGACGAAGTGGCGGAATCGGTAAAAATATTTCTGTTGCAAGTGTAAGAATCGTTTTCCATTGCTTTTTTTGATATCGCCCAAGGCGGAAACTTTTTGCAGTAGTATTCAAAACGGAACTCAGAAAAATCTTTAATTCTTTGTAATGAAAGATTCGACTTTCCAAGCGACCTAACAAGAAAGATTTTTTATTTTATGTTCAACTGCAGAAGGTGACAGGCATCTAGAACACTATTACAAATGTCCTGTTGAAATATGTATTACTCAATAAAATAGGAACTAGTTTTGTAAAGTGACAAAGCAAATATGTCGTGCTTACTTTATATTTAGAAGCTGAATGCGGCTGTCCTTTCAACTGTTATCTATCTCGAAAGACAAAAGAAGCTGAAAATATCTTTCATATTGCAAGTTGTTCTTGAAATATTAAATTATGAAATCAACATACACTATTGTCGAATTTTCATTTAATAAGGAATCTACACTCTAGCTCCACTTTGCCGTCTCTAATCAGGGCACTTCTGAGCGTAATAAAATTCGACGAAATTCCTCAAAAACCGGAGGAATTTGTTCTCAATTTTTCAAAACCAAAGGGCCTACTCAAGCGCGTCCGAAGTTTCTCAAAAATGAAAGACTATTGCTCTTAATTTTTTAAAAAACTAGAAGGTATGTTCCTCCAAACTCCCGCTCCAATTCGCGCTGCCTCTGTTGTAACAATATTTCAGCTTTCGTAACAAGTATTCAATTTGTTGCCTCTAAATTGAATTTGAGATTAAACAAAAAATATTCTCAATATCGTAACGAGATCTATTTCGTTGTGTATATATTCCCTTGCAGTTATGCTAAAGTCTGCCTTTTTAACCATCGATAATGCTATCCACAGCGAAGTTTATTACCACTTCAAATCAACACTTTTACTGGAATTTCTATTCTCAAAAAACAATATTTAATAATGACTAAAGTGGCAATACGTTCTTTCGAATAAACCTTTTTCAAGAGTTATTTTTTCCCAGAAGAACAAAATATAACAGATATTTTACTTTATTAGACGAGATTGTATTCGATTGTTCAAATTTTTCACTTGCCAAATCCGATAATTGATATCTGTTCCATGGTGTCTTGAGATAAACCACTAATCGTTCAATATTGGGTGTATGTTCAATTAGATACTCAATAAAACATGCATAATGTAGACGAATCTCTACAGAACGAAGTTTTGTACAGCAATATTTTGTTGTGAATGAATTTGAAATTGAACCATGATAAGAAAACGATAAACAATGGTGAATAATCAAATAAGATTGATAGCAGGGAATATCAAGTCGAAGATTAATTAATTTACATTTTTCAGAGAATATAATACATAACAGATCTTTGAACATTAATTGATTTTTTCCTATGTTACAGAGAAATACTCTCTATTATTTATATAAAATAGATTTTCATTAATGATAAAAAAAATTAAGCACAAGTATCTAATTTGAAAGATTTTAATGATGGAACGACAAATACAAAATCAAGTTAATAGAATATTTGCAAAATTCACTAATTTGTTATTCAATATGGAAAATTCAATTCAAATTTGCTTTCATGTTTTAAAATTTCTCTTCGTGAAAAAAAGAAATCCTATCTTTCTTCAAAACTCTATTCATTCATCTATTTTCAAACTATATAATATTTCCCTTCACACACATCTGCGCTACCAAAATATCAACATTTATTCACACATAGGTAACGAGCTACTACTATAATACGATTAGCGTAACCATCGTTTTTCGCTATGGTGGTTGTTACGGTCACGATTGTCGATTATCTTTTTGGAATTGGGGGGAATTCGGCAAAGTAGCTTCATACAAATTTACAGTCAGCGCAAGAAAACACACTACAATATACATTTTCTGGAAAAATTTGTGTTGTCGATTGCATCGAAAATCCTTCCAAGAGCACGGAGACTCCTAAACTTCTAACCTGAAAACATTTTTTAGTTTCGCACACATAGCCTCCTAATGCCTATGCAATTCACAACAGCCTGAGTCGTTCTACCATCCGTGGAACTCTCTGAATTTCATACATCCGTTCGATAAATTTCGCAGAAAGTATTCAAATTTTTATTTCGGGGAGCGGGGGAAAGCTCCATCCTCCCTAATCGGTACGCCTGATTATGGCACATACTAAAGGGAATGGCAATCTAACAAACTCTGCATTTGAGCAGTTTATGTCATAGATAATTCTTTTCTTGTTTAGTTATTTTTCTTTTCGGTTGTCTTTATGTAAGAATAACACCATTCGCTTCAGGACATTCAAGTGCATTCTACATTTCTTTCGTTCTTACCTGTTTTTCGACTTTTTTCGGTCCAATTGTGTAAATGGAATACGATTCACTCATATACGTATATATATATAGAACGCAATAGAATTCATTGACTTATATGAAGAAAAAGAGGGAAAATACAGGTAAGAACCAAAGAAATGTAGAATGCACTTGAATGTCCTGAAGAAAATGATGTTATTCTTAGATAACGACAGAACCGAAAAGAAGGATAATAAATAAACAAGAAAAAAATTATCTATGACAATATTACCATTGAGATTCTAATATAACGCTTCAATTAACTGCATTTATCATATATGTTTTTCTACTAATCGTATGGATATTAATTATGATACTGGTCAAATGTAGAGTTTCTTAGATTGCCATCCCTTTAAGAAGACTTCATCATAATGGCGATACAACTATCGAAAGTTATTGGCATCATTTTTTTTTCTATATAATACACAACTTTTATTCTTTTTTGATTCGTCCACAAATGTATTTAATATACAATAGAAAAAATAATAAGATAGCACATCGAACAAAATTCCAATTTTTCTGCTACCTATTGAAAGTATAGTCACTCATAAGATAAACGATGGATAAAGTATTTATAAGATTTTCAAATTCGAATTCATTGTTAAAGTAGCCGAATACATTGACTTGTCTATTGATGATGATCAATATCTCAAATCTAGTCACGATTCGACAAATATTAATTCCAAATAATTTCTTTTTTCTTTAAAAAAAAAAAAAGAATAATTATCAGTATGCTTTTAACTTTGACATGGGCATACCTCCCTTCGAACAGAACTGTTTCTTGTCAAATTTGTAGTGATAGTAGTCTGCATTAAAACGCAGTTTTTGTGAATGTTCGATATTGGAACAATGTTCCCTTGTGAAGATATGATTACATTACTTAAATGTACTGTTTGTGAAAAAGTTAAACTTTCGATGAAAAAGATAGAGGTCTTCACTTTATTCGTATTTCTAAAATATTTCAACAAATTGCAGAAAATATTCAAACAAGGCTAAAAGCATAAAGGATTTGAAGCTCGATTGTACTGCATTTACTAAAAATTTTTTATACTATGTAATCTAAACATTCGTGATTATTTGAGAATCATACGAGACAAAGTTTTTTTTATTCATTCACTAATTTTATACACACGTATTTCCGTTATAACTCTTTTTAATAAAGTATATGAAACTGAAAATTATATCGTGAATGTATCTCACTTTCTTCTACTAGCAGAAGAAATTTCATTGATCTTCGACAACTTTTTCAAAATTACGATTATCGTTTCCAAAATTTGTAGAAAGGAATGTCTCGCGTCTTTCCACAGTTCGCGACAATCGTAATTCCAATATCCATACATTTAAAATCTTTTTTTTTTGGTAATAGATAAATCTACTAATTTGAATGGATATGATAAGACCTCTGTTTATTTTCTCTCTATAGTTATTTAATGTTACAATATACGTTATTTGACTTTCGGACATCTGAAAATCTTTTCATTAGGTTTTTTCTCGACTATTTTTCATCAAATAAAACATTGATTTGAAAAATAAAATCATTTTTTAACAATGAATAATTTCTATATCCTTTTCATTAAAAAAAGCTGTTTGAAAAATAATAAATTACTTTGACTGGCAACCCATATCAAAGGTTCCTTTTCAGATTCGAATACTGTAAAAACATCTTCATCTAAGATCATTGTAAGTTTGTTCAATTGGCCTTGAATAAGAGAACACAAATTATTAATTAACAATTCAGATAAATAAAATCGATCAAGAATAAGTGATTTAAGATTAGAATAATTATAAATATAACGATTCTTATTAATAAATTCATAATTATATGGACATGTTCCATCCAAATGAATATGTCGAATAGAATTAATGAGAGACGAACAATTAGAAATTAATGAAAATAATTTTGATAAAAATATTTTATAAGATAAACTTGTTTTATTAATAATAATTCCACAATTATTTATTGAAAAATTTGGTATTCCTATAGCAGGTGTTCCACCGTAAATGCACGGTAACATTATAGCTGGTGCTCCCCATTATAAAAGGGTGTGGGTGTTTCACGAGAGATAGCCTTACCCACACCCATACCGTCCTTTATGAATGACCCCTTTTCGTTGTAAACGACAATGCAAAAAAGAAAAATCATGTAGAAAACATCGGTTAGTAATTTTCTTTAATTAAAATATTAAAAAAAAACTTTTATATAGATGTAATCGAATATGTTGTAATCTTGATAGTCATCAATGTGAATTAGTCTGCGGTAAAATACTTAATTTTGATATACAGTATGTATTTGATATAAAACAAAAAAAATAATAATTTAATATATATTCTTTTTCGTTTAGTAAATGTAAAGAATTATGTCATTTCAATTTTTGTCATACTTGTTCATTATTTGACCAGGAAATAAAATGTCATTGTGATGAAACAGTTCTTAAACCAAAATCTAAATGTTTTAAAATTCTTCAAAAATGCTATTTTTCATGTAAGCGAGCACATGAATGTGGTCATCCTGCTAATCATTGGTGTCATAATGATGATGAATGTCCACCTTGTACACATCCTGTTTCAAAAATGTGTGTTGGAGAACATATGTCATTTGATGTAAAAAATTTGTTTTATTTTTTATCAATTATTAATTAACAAAGATCTATTTCCTTTTAGGTTCCATGTCATGTAAAAATAGTATGCTGTCGTCAAGGGTGTGGGTATGANATGAATTAAATTGATTATTGTATCACTCATTAAATATTTCCAAATAAAGTTTGCATCAACAATAGATCCATATATTATTGGATTTTTCTCACAAGTTCCATCTATCTTAAGACGAATTTTGATATTTTCAACACTATTTAAATTGTTAAAAAACCATTTTAAATAATATAATTGACCATCATAATCAACAGTACTCTTTAATATAAGATATTTTAATTTTTCTGCTGTGAATTTCTAAACCAGTATAAAAATAAATGTTTATATCAATAATCAAATATTTTTATTTGTATTTTCTGATAAAAAAAATAAAATATATTGATTAAATATACGTATTATTTACTATTTCCCTTTAATATTTTATAACCTACAAAAACTTATTAATTGTTTTTGACAGAGGAACGGTGCGAAGAGCTCATAGCAGTGGACGAGTATTTTCACAAATGGAAGAAAATGTGACAAGTGCATCCGAAACTTTTGGAGGAGGGTACCGGTATCCAATAATGAACCATATGGGGTGATGAACTTTTAGAAAATTTTTAAAAAGAATTTTTTTAAATCCGTGAAAAATTGTTAAGTTATCGATCAAAAAGAAAAAAAATTTCTAAGATTAGACAGGCAATCTCCCTCGACCTCCCTACTTGGGACCAGTGACCGACCAAGGAGTCTGGAATTATGAGGGGTGTGTAAGCTTTCCTAAACAGTTTCAAAAGATCCCTACACAACGAAAAATTGCCGAACGAAATGACGGGATTGGTAAAAATATTTTCGTCGCAAGTGTAAGAATCGTTTTCCATTTCTTTTTTTGTATGTATAACTTTTGTAGTGTCCCATATAGAGTCTGACCCGGATCCGCTCGGATCTGGATCCAGGTGATTATGCCGGTCATCGATATAAATAAGCGAAAAAACAAATGTGGTATTTTGGGAGCGACTATCAGGTTCAGAGACAAAAGAACTTCATTGAAAGAAGTCAGAGTGTGATTCAAAATCCGGGCCGTGGTCCAAAAATTTGAATCCGGGTCCCGGATTCGGGTCTGAAAAGTTTACTCAATCATGTTCGAGTCCGGGTTCAGGTCCTAAAACATTTAATCAATTGGGTCCGAATCCGGGTCCAGGTCTGAAAAATCTTCCATCCGTTTGGACTCTAGTCCCATAACGGAAATTTTTCGCTTCAAAACCATCATTTTCTGATGACAAAATGATTCTATGAAAAATATTATTTTAGTATGCCTCTTAGACGCGCATACTGCCGAAGGCGGAAACTTTTTTGCAGTAGTATCAAAAACGGAACTCAGGAAAATCTTTAATTCTTTGTAATAAAAAGTCGACTTTCCGAATGACCCAACAAGAAAGATTTTTTATTTTATATTCAACTGACGAAGGCGGCAGGCATCTAGAACACTATTACAAATGTTCTGCTGAAATATGTATTACTCAATAAAATAGGAATTAGTTTTGTAAAGTGACAAAGCAAATATATTCGTTCTTACTTTATATTTAGATGCCGAATGCGGCTGTCCTTTCAACTGTTATCCATCTCGAAAGACAAAAGAAGCTGAAAACATTTTTCATATTGGAAGTTGTTCTTGAAATATTAAATTATGAAATCAACGTATACCATTGTCTACTTTTCATAACGAAAAATTCCAAAATTTTCATTTAATAGGGAATCTACACTCTAGCTCCACTTCGCGGTCTCTAATCAGGACACTTCTGAGCATGACAAAATTCGACGAAATTTCTCAAAAACCGGAGGAATTCGTTCTCAATTTTTCAAAACCAAAGGGCCTACTCAAGCGCGTCCGAAGTTACTCAAAAATGAAAGACAATTGCTCTTCACTTTTTAAAAAGCTAGAAGGTATCTTCCTCCAAACTCCCTCTCCAATTCGCGCTGCCTCTGTTTTAACAATATTTTAGCTTTCATAAGAAGTATTCAATTTGTTGTCACTAAATTGAATTTGAGATTAAGCAAAAAATATTCTCAGTATCGTAACGAGATCTATTTCGTTTTGTATATGTTTCCTTGCAATTATGCTAAAGTCTGCCTTTTCGACCACCAAATATGCCATCCATCAGCGAAGTTTATGACCATTTCAAATCAATACTCTTACTGAAGTTTCTATTCTCAAAAAACAATATTCAATAATGACTAAAGTGGCAATACGTTTTTTCGAATAAACCTTTTTCAAGAGTCATTTTTCCTCAGAAGAACAAAACATAACAGAAATTTTACTTTATTAGACGAGGTTGTATTCGATTGTTCAAATTTTTCACTTGACAAATCCGATAATTGATATCTGTTCCATGATGTCGTGAGATAAACCGATAATCGTTCAATATTGGGTGCATGTTCAATAAGATATTCAATAAAACATGCATAATGTAGACGAATCTCTACATAACGAAGTTTTCCACAGCAATATTTTGCTTTGAATAAATTTGAAATTGAACCATGATAAGAAAACGATAAACAATGGTGAATAATCAAATAAGATTGATTGCAGGGAATATCAACTCGAAGATTAATTAATTTA